AAATGCATGATATTTTACTTCCGATCGTCGATTGAAAGTGTATGAGATTAGTGAAACTATTACAGTGAACTATTACTGTAATAGTGAACTATTACAAGTGAAACATTTCAGTAGGATGCACGCGGAATATTTTATATGAATGTTTGGGCTTGAGAAAGTTGTTTGCAAGATGGGTGCCGCGCTTGCTCACAGTTAATAACAAGCGAGCTCGTGTGGTTGCAACTGAGCAATGTTTAAACATGTTTCAGCGGAAACTAAAGGAATTTTTGCAACGCTTTTGTTGATGAAACATGAATTATTATACGCCAGAAATGAAAAATCAGTTGAAAATATAGACTAGGCTAAGTGAATCTGCGCCAAAAAAAGCAAATATGTCACAGCTATAATTTTGTGGAACTTAATTGGTATAATATTAATCGATTACTTACAAAGAGGAAGAACTATTCTAGGAGAATATTATGCCTCATTATTAGACCGATGATGCTATAATGAAGGAAAAGCGACTCCACCTGGCAAAAAAAAGTTCTTTTCTACCACGATAATGCACCAGCTCACACGAGGTCCATTGGAACGGCCAAATTATTCCATTGGAACGGCCAAACTATTAAATAGTATCACTACGAAATACTTCCTGATCCATCTTATTCTCCAGATTTGGCTCCTTCTGATTAGTTTTTGTTTTCTAACATGTAAATTTGGCTTGTGAGTATAAAATTTTCATTCAACAAACAGGTAATTGCTGCGACAAACAAGTATTTTGAGGATTTTTATATAAATTACTTTTCAGAAGACATAAACAAGCTTCAGCACCGCTATAATAAATGTATTGAGTTAAAAGGGAACTATGTTGAAAAATAAATTAGAATTATTTAAATAAATAGTATTTTTTTATTTGAAGTCACAGACTTATTGATAGACTCTCGTATTTTACGGACTTATCGTTCATGCATGACGTCATTGAGATAGGAGTGAGCATTGAGACTTCTCGTAAACTTGATAGTCCATTTCTTTTTTGTTTTTACTAATACCATACCTGTACAGTATTTTGTCTTCTACCTTCAAACATTAAAACCTGATTAGTCACGCCTCGACTGTAATAACCTCGAATGCTGTCACTTCCAATTCATTCCTGAGCCCATAAGATAATGCGTCATGAACCTGATTGAGTACCTTCTTGCGATACACCAACTCTATGTCTCACTGCTGTAGCTCAAGGATCTAACTGGCTTAGCACCCTGTCGAATCTTTCTTATTTTTCAGTCTAGTTAGAACTGGTTAACCGATGGTGGCAATAAAATTCACACGCCTCCGATATACGACTTAAACTTCTGAATGCCAAACAGCAGCCCTAGACACTCGAATTCTGACACGATGTAGTTTCTCTCATGCTTACTTAACATGCGATTTGCGTAACACACCGGGTGATTCTACAATTCTACGATTCTCCGAATATATCCAAAATACTTCCCACTGAATGGGAAGCGGATCTACTCGCCTCCTTGGTCTTACTGCTGTGACGCATTTTGCTATACCTGTAGGGATAGTACGTCCCGTAGGTTGTCATCGCTGGTTTCGAAGATTGAAATAATGAGCTGGTGTCGGCTGCAACATGCTGCTTAGCACAAGGACCACTTTGTCGATGGTGCCTGTTCGCGACATATGTGCTCAATATTTTTAGTTCGTGCGCTATCTCTGTGATCATCAATGAACACGTATGGGGAAAACCCCTAAGGTCCCTACATGTGTCACCGTTCGCATGACAGACGTTGCACACGTTGAGGTCATAAAGGCCTAAACTAGCCGTCGGTGACGTCGGCTAGACGAAAGACTAGGTAAGGAGATGCATCATCTTCCAAGCTTCTCATTGGTTCCTGCTTGAAGCCCCTAATGAGAGTAGGGGTTTTCCGCGTTCTCAATGCGGCAGACCTAATAGAGTGACAGCCAGTTGTCTTGAGAGGATAGAGGAGTCTACTTCGCTCTCGCTTTGCGTCCATTCTTTTTCTCTCGAGCCGATATACTTGTGCAACTTCAGTGTGTGAGTTGTGACCACGAGCCCTCTTCTACCTCAAGCTTCTGTGAAGCTGCAACCGACCCGGTGACCCGTCGAGGCCCAAGTACAGAACTGGCTGCTGCCTTGGGAGAGGACGAGACGCGTTCTCTGGGGTGTCTCCAACCACGCGGCTTTCTCCACTCTCTTCTCGGCTACGAAGTAGCGAGGGCTGACCCATTTCCGAGACGTCGGAGCTACCGAGGGCCTTTTTATATCCTGGAGACGCCTTCCTGCCCGATTGTGCGCATGCGAAAGTCACCGGAGTAGGTTTCAATAAGTTGAGTGGCCATTCAACCGCGTCTTAATGTAAGTCGATAGATGTATTTGTATTGTAACATTTCTTTATTCTTTGTTTTGCCTTTGTTTATTCATATCATTCGGATTAGTATATTTATGATGTCCAAATGGCTTTTCCCCCACCTACGACTGGGGTTTTTTATGCCGGCTGACAATTATAATTATAATTATAATCCTTATTTCATTAATAAAGTAATAAGTTAAAGAATTATTGTTATTAGTGCAGATCCAATCCAAACCTTCTATATAATAAAACAAAATAAATAAATAGAAAGATCATTCGGACTTCGAATCAAAGGTAATAATTTTAACTTTGTGCCTCTCTTCTTATTTGCACCTCTATCAAGTAAACAGTGCTTGTAAATGGTTCTCGAACATACTTGCATAAATTAACTTTATTTGCACAGTTTTTACCTCTTATTCTTAATTTTAGCTCTTGCCATAAATGTTCTATGGAATTCAAGTCCGGACATTGACTTGGCCACAACAAAACTTGGACTTTTTTTTGAGGAAAAAAACTGTTATAGGAGTGAAGATCGATGTTTTGGATCGTTATCTTGCTGAAAAATCCATCCTCGTGGCATGTTTCTACGAGCGTAAAGCATCATTACATCTTTTTTTTATTAAGCATTTCATACCTCAAAAGTAGTATATACATGCTACAGTATAATAACAAATTTCCAGACTATAAATAGATTTCTTAAGGCTATAATAGTTGCCACAGTGCTTTATACTTTTAAATCGCATTTTTTCGCAAAAGTGCGTTTAAATATTTAAGTTTTTATTTTGCATTATATAACATACTTAATTATTAAATTATGTTTTAAATTTAAACAAGTTTAATTGTATTTTCGTTTTTTTTCGTTACTGAGCGCGAAAAAGCAGTTTTATAGGCAAATTTGACAATCGAAACCGCCGATGCAAGTGTTTGGTCGTCTATTCTCTACGAAAGATTTTTACAAAATTTTTCCCACAGAGACAAACAGCAAAAACAGACGAAATCAACATACGGTACTAAAGGCAAAATTAACGCGCGAGCATGAGCAGTCAGCAAGAGTGAATCGCACTTCTTCTATTCACCAAAAAATAAAAACTTTCTAACTTGCGATATACTGAAGTAAGCATATGAGCAGCCCATACCCACAAATTGGACAAAAATTCTACTACTCTCTTTCTTTCGCACGTATCATATCTACAATTGACCTCTTCCATTTTTTATTCTCTCCTATCAAAATCCACAATGCTCTCCACCGACTGTACTAGCTATTCATCTCTCCCACTTTAACATGCACTGAATGTCATACTCCTTCCTTAACATTCTTTTTTTTCTACCTCTGTTCTGTAAAAATTATAGCCAAGGCAAGAAAATTAGCTCTCTCGAGGAGAATCGTCAATAGAAGAAATTAATGCCTTGGATCTGGCTTTCTTAAACGCGACCTCTCATTCGGGTCTCACTAAGTTTCGCGAACGTTCTAATTCACCTGTATCAAAATTCAGTTCTTTATTTTCTTCCTTTTCTGTATAAAATAAGAAATAAATTGTGCAGCTTGTATTGAAATATAAACACACTTATTCCTTTAAATCTCACTAATTAATACTCAGCCAATTTCTCGATGAACTTGTGCTATGTGATAAGCTCGAAATGGCACAGTTTTGCAAGAACTGTTGTGCTACGGGTGTTTATATACAGTGACATAAAAATCACAACGTCAATAGGAAGAAAGCTAACATGCAGTTGCCCACTAGGCTAGCAACGGGATCTGTAGAGCGGAAACAATATCATCGAAATCTAGGAGTTCTCCAAATATCTATATAGCAAGGTAATAAGAGCTACCGACTTTCATTATCTGAGGTTCAATTTTGTATTCTTTTTCCTATCTCGTTGCCTACTCAACTTTATTCATATCTATTCATGCTTATCGTCATTACGCTAGACAAGGCTTATATATTACCGAATTTTTCTTTCACTTCGCGCGTAGTTCACAATTTTTTACACTTCCAATTCTAGACGTAACAATTGTCATCCTGACGTTACCATCACACTATTTAATAGTCTTTTGATACCATCCTTTTTGAAATATTGTATGGATAGTCATGGGTACAGTCATATCTGTATCGGTTGCATATAACATTACATAAGAACATTGAAATATTAGAGCAGAAGCGTATTTCAACCGATCTTTATTTTTACACTATCAATCTTTATTCAGTTTCTAAAAATTTATAGAAAAGAGTATTATCATCACTTTCTTGAAAAGAATTTTCAGTAAGTCTTCAATAAATGAAGAACAGATGTTATCAAACGAATCTCTGCATTATTATGCAATCTATCAAAATATATGCAATGCGGTTAAGATTCTTCTAAAAAAACAAACGCATGAATACATACTGTGTGTATTAAATGTTCATGTTCAACGATAACAATTTTTTTTATTACAACAAATAAAGTCTAAAATATATGCAAGCAATAAAACTTCAGTTGAAACATTAACGAAGACAATTTCAAAAATTGAAATTGGATATTATTTGCTATTCCTAAGAAAGTATTTTACAACTTATTAGTGAAACGTTAATAATTTATCACAATATTTATTATAAAAAATTGATTGTATACAAATTTATAACATTATTAATATTATTAATAACATTTCAGCAGGAAGCCGTGCTGGAGGGCTCATCAGCTCTCAATCTTCTGAACTGGATTCCCCAGAGATACACTCAACGGTTCATTCCTGGGACTCGCATGCGAATTATCATGGGAATTACGGTCACGACGACCATAGACACGGATCTTCTATAAACACCATGGCTTGGCCACGTACTAGTAATCTAATTTTCTATTGCGACATCCAGGGTCACCTAAAGACCGCTACTGGACTTGTTAGATTACTCTTACTTGTAAAATTCTAGTCTTCTTCATATTTATCATGTATTTATATCTGTTACTAAATGATTTAATCTTCAACAGTTATCGTCAGCAGCATGTTTGGCAACTCTATGTAGCTCAGGGACTGCGAAGGTCAGTCTTTTTATGCTACCCCTAGTCGGGAGACTCCGCTTCATGATATTTGTTGCGGTCTTTTGCCTGCTGATAACTACGTTGCTTCTATTTTTGGACATCTCACACGTCGTTTATTTCTTTCCCTTCAATTGGGCACGAGTGGTAAGATTAATCGATTTTTTAAGTACCTCTTCCAATATCAACTTAATTTTGGCTGTTTTTTAAAACATAGTCCCGTGGGATTTTCATATTTTTTGTTGTACAACCGCTCAATCTATACTATCGTGTCTTTCCATCTGATTTATAAATAGGCACTAACACTGATAAAACGCATGGAAAAATTGAAAAATTATGATACTTTAAAGATGAACATTAAGTTTATAACGATGATCATCAATTTACTTAAGGTGACTAATTAAAGTTAAGAAGATTCTGAAATTTCATCAAAATTTCATTAAAATGCTCGCGGTTGAATAATATGATAGATTAAAGTATCAAGAAAGTCGCTGATTTTTCCTATATTTACTCGTATTATCATAGAAATACTATGTTTTTGAGATTAAGTTTCGTGAGTTGACCTCGACAAATTAATATATATGTGTAAGAGTGTGTGGACTGGAGGATAAATAAAGAAAACTATTTGGATAAAAACAATAAAGGAACTCTTACGGACAGCTACGAATAAGGCAAGCTTGTTTCGGTCTCGCCCACACGTGGTAGGCGCTTGAATAAAATAGTTTTAAGCTCATAGTTTGTATGCACTGCGAGAGGCGAGAAAACTTAATGTACGTAAAATAAAATATATATAATTATATATACATTTGTATGTCGGTGAGCGTGTGAGTGTGTTCTTGTATTTGTGGACGTATGCATGTGTGAGTGTACATGCGCAAGTATACGTGCCCATATTTATGCGTCGATATGTGTGCATATATTGTGTCGATCATGAGCGCACGAAGTATGAGTATATTATATACGGGCAAGGGAGTTGAGGAACGCTCAGATGCCGGGGATGTCTTCAGGGGGAGTGCCCCAAGCAACGACTCGTCAGGGCGTCTCTTCTTTCTCCCATAAAACAGCTCTCGCTAGCTATTACTCTCTAGCTATTACTCTCTCTATTACTCGCTCTCTTAGTTGAATTTTGCAACTCGGAACACTTGTGTTCCGCCAGTTAATTTTGGCAACTCGGGATGAGAGCGAGTTCACAGTTCAACTTTGCTACTCGGAACGCGCGCGTTCCTCTAGTTGAACTTGGCAACTTGGGGGAGTAGAGAATAATTAAAAATATGAAAAGTTGACAAGCAAGAGTGTGGGCGAAAATCACAAGTGTGAAATTTTGAAAGATCGAAAAGAGTGAGAGTGGTCAGATGATGTATGCAAAAACAGCGGGACCATGAAAATTTCATGCATTAAAAAACAATTTAGTACCGTGCATATATGTGCATTTGTTTAAAAAAAAAATCGATAACGTAAACGTGCGTCAAGTTGTTTATAACAACGACCGTGTTTCCATGGTAACAAACATATATAAAAGCGAACCGCAGCGCACCTCAACCCTCTTTCTCTTGCGATCATTACTTAAGCTATCTTGTGTTCCACTTAAGTTTGTAATTAAAAATAATCTAACTAATTGAAGTTCAAGATTGATTTCAGTCATCCACACCTCTTACAAATTAGTGCCCCGGATGAGGAACAACGAGCGAGAAGATGCAACACTAATCATTCGATTTTTTTCATCAATGGCTCCGAAACGTCGATCCGAGGGGCAGCAGCGTCCCGCAACTGCTGAAAAGCGAGCAAAGGAGACAACCAAGACTCCGAGGACGCCGAGAGCTCCAAGAAAAACGGTACCCGCACCAACGCCAGTGCAGGCCCCAGAGCAACAGCAGGCCACTGGAGAAGAGCACGAGAATCACGTAGAGATGAACATCATAGAGGTCCAACCGCCTTTAGCAACCATCTCCCAACGGACTACTACTCGTAATCGTCGACGCACCATCGAGGAAGTTATGCCGAACGCCGACAACAAGAACCACGGCAACCACGATTTCGAACAGCATGGTACGGGGGCGCAAGCCCAATCGGCTGTAAATCATACCGCGGCGCATGACTATTTTGCGAATGTAATCGGAAGTGCGGCCATGGATCCGAATTCTGCGATCGCTCAAGCGTTGTTAGAGATCTTGCGTACTATGCGAGACGTTGTTGCAAGTTAAAGCGGGTCGCGAATAGGGGGTCGTCCGTCTTTCCTGAAAGAACTACCGCAGTTCAGTGGAAACCCTCTTGACTGGGTACTTTTTGAAAAACGATTTAACGATTCGACACTGGACTTTGGATATAATGACAGCGACAACCTCACGCGTCTACAGAAGTCTATCACCGGGATCGCGAGAGAACGAAATGTAACACTAATAGCCACCGGGACGGCAAAAGAAGTAGTAATATCACTTAATCGTCAGTTCGGAAATCCCACCGTGATCGCGGAAAAGATTAGATCAAATTTGACAGATCTGCCATCACTTAGAAGAAGAGAAGTGAGTGTGATAGACTTTGCTTCATATTTAGAAAACGCGCTAAGCGCATTCAAGTCACTCGAACTACACGAGTACTTATCGGAAACCGGTTTATACGACGCAACGGCTGACAAACTACTTAAATATCTTCTCCAAGGATTCGCCGACTGCTTCTCTTCAATGGAGGGTTCCGGGACAAGGTTAGAAAAATTATCCGCCTATTTATTAACGAAGGCTGACAATGCTGCGAACGCGCGCATCCGGACTCTTGTAGCAACATCCGCGCATTCTTCACAAGATAAAGACCGTGCGAGAGAAAATGATGTATCAAGGAGACACACAAAATACTCAAATTCGGCTGTAATCTGCGCAAACGAAGCAAAGCCAGCAAGAGCGACTGAGCAAGGTGGCGAGCGTCGATAGTTGAGTGACGCGTGCGCGCATTGCGGAAGGCAGAGCCACAAGCTACGCGACTGCTTAGATTTTCAGCGAGAATCGACAAATGGCCGTTGGGAGATAGTAAAAAGGTTACGCATGTGCTACAGATGTCTCGGTGGAAGACACACGCGTTACGAATGTCAATCGAAACAGGCTTGCCGCGAGTGTCTGGAGGATCATCCCACCTTACTACACTTCGAGTTAAGGGGCGGGCATCGCAACGAGAGGAGGCGCGGATCAAGCCCACATGTAGAAAACCATCGCCGGCAAGAGACGAGAACACTTTCGGGAGATCGTTACCGCCGCGAATCGAGAATTCGCTCAGTAGAACGTTGCCAAAAAGAAAATCAAGATCAACCGTCGAGCAATTTCCAATGACTAGCATCACGCTCGGGCATGTTGAAATTAATCCCGATTCGGATAAAGGGACCTGCTGGGACCACGAAGGTATATGCGTTATTGGACAGAAAATCAACAATTATAGTTATCGATAAGAAATTTGCGCGTAGTTTAGGACTAAGGGGTAAGCAAGTCAACATGACCGTGCGTGGACTCTGGAACGGCGAGAAGCATGCTATTTGCGAAAGATTAGCTTTCTCAGTTCTCGGCGAATTTGGCACGCAGACCATCGAACACGCTTTGGCTGTTCCACAAGTAGACTTGCCCGTGCAAACATTGCCGAGAGACGTCACGAGACAAATTAAGAAAAGAATTGGCATTGACGTAGAACCATATACGAACGCGAGACTACTCGTTCTTATTGGGCAGGACACCTGGCGCCTAATCAATACAATTGAATCGCGCACGGTGGGGAACAGTGGGATGGTCCTATCCAGAAACTTGCTAGGATGGGCAGCACATGGATACCTAGCGAATAATCGAGGCGCTTCTCATACGTTAAACGAGCGTGCGACCTGCTGCGCGACAAGCTGTATGCATACCAACGACCGCGAATGCAATGCAACCTTAGATAATTTAATCGAGCGGTATTTTGTTCTGAAGAATCTTGGAGTCGCCGGGTCAAATGCGCGCGAACATCATACGGACCGAGCAACAAAAATCTTGTGGGAAACAACCAAGAAGGTAGAGAAACAGTGAGAAACCAGACTGTTGTGGAAGAGTAACTCTTTTTGGGACATGCGAAATACGCGCGAAACAGCGTTGAAACGCCTGTACTCATTAGAAATAAGACTGGACCGGGATTTAAAGCTCGCGGAAAAGTTTTATAAAGAAGTGAATAGATGGACAAAGAATGGATACGCCGTTGAGACCTATCGAGAAACATCTTCTCCCTGCCGTCGCTATCTGTCGATCTTCAGTATCTATAATCCAAATAAACCCGACAAAGTTTGGCTCATACACAACGCGGCAGAAAAAACAAATGGGGTAAGCCTCAACGATTTGTTCGATACCGGACCAGACCTTCTCGAGTCACTTCTCGGAGTTCTAACGCGCTTTAGGCAACATCCGTTCGCAGTGAAGGCAGACATAAAAGATATGTACCTGCGAATTCGAGTAATTGCAAAGGACAGAGCAGCACAAACCTTTTTGTATCGCGTAGCCGATCTTTCGCGCGAACCATCTGAGTACGACATGCAATGCTTGATTTTCGGTTCGAAGTCTTTGCCATGCAGCGCACTATTTGTTAAAAATAGGAACGCAGGAACCTTCAAGAGCGTAGCGCCGGAAGCGGCAAAAAGCATAAAGGTGAACAGTTACATGGACGACTACCTCGCCAGCGGTGGGGATGCGAATAAAATGCGCCGAATGGTTCAGGACGTGATCCGAATCAATCGCGAAGCCAATTTCGAGATGCACGGGTGGGCATCGAACGATGCGAGCATAGTCAGAGACGTGGTAAAAGACAGCAAACTCAGCGGCTAGAAAAGGGCGGACTTATGCGACAAAGACGAGCGCGTGTTAGGTTTATACTGGGATAGCAAGTTGGATAACTTGCGTTTTAATGTCGGCCTTAACAAACTAAAAGAAAGCATAGCAAAAGGGGAGGTGAAACCAACGAAGCGCGAACACTTAAGCACCGTTATCTTGGTTTACGACCCGCTGGGAATCCTGTCACCGTTTACGCTTAACGCAATGCTGACCATCCAAAATATATGGATAAGTGGAATAGGCTGGGATTCAAATATTCGCAACGAGGAATTCGACAGTTACTTGGTTTGGTTGAGCAATTTAAAACCAATGGTAGATCTC